TATTATAAATAATTTATAGATTAAATAAAATAAAAATTACTAATTAATTAATAAATTTATCTTTAATTTAAAAAAACAGCTATGAAGAATATTTCAAATGAATATTTCTCTACTATTTATTTTAAAAGCTTCATTAACTATTGATATTATTAAATAAACTAAAATTTCTCAACTATTAAATAAATATAGTGTTGCATTTTATTATTAGAAATCTTCTAATTTTAAATAAATTGTTTACATTAACTAATGGCTTAGAAAAATATAATTTGAATAAATACACTCTTTGGTTTATTCACATAATGCCATTGTACAAGTCGACCCCCCTATAACACTGTTGATTTTTCCATTTTATATGAATTCCATGTTGTACGAGTCACTTAAATTTTACAAATACGTGTGCCGGGCTGTGAACGGATTACATATTTGTAAAATCTAAGTGACTCGTACAACATGGAATTCATATAAAACGAAAAAATCAACAGTGTTATAGGGGGTCGACTGTAATATGGATTTATTCGAGTCTGTGGAATAATTTAAACTTGTAGATCTAATAGAATGTATAAAATTTTCATATTTTAAATTGAATGAATATTAGAAGAATTTGCACTTTATTATTAATTTATTTAAAACATTTTATGAATCGAAATAAAGACCATTTTTAATTAATTAAAACAAATTGCATTTTTTCAGAACAAAGTTTAAAAAAGGTTAACTTAGGTTATCTTCTGTTTAAAGTATATTTCCATTTAAAACATAAATGAATCTCGATCAATGACCTCTAATTTGAAATTTATTTGATACGGAGCAAAGATTTGCTATAAGTATTACGTTATTATTCTACGTAGACTTAATACTTTACCGAATTTAATATTTCAAACATAATAAAAACATAAATATATATATATATATATTTGTTTTTTTTACAGAAATGAAAGAAAAATTCCAATATCCTTATCTTCAACGAAAACTTTCTCATCAATTTTCTTGTCTGGGAAAACTAATAGCAAGACATTATTTGTGGTTTTTTTTCATACCAGTTTTGATAGCATTAATATTATCAACAGGATTTTTACAATATAAAGTCAACAGAGACACCGATTATTTATTTACTGCTACAAATGAAAGAGCACATAAAGCTAAAGATCTTACTGAACGTTTATTCCCTATGAATACATCAATATACTCTGATTCTACTAGAATTTCAAAACCAAACGATATGTGTTTAATACTTATATATTCTAAATCTAATAAAAATTTATTCGATGAAAAGATTTTTGAAGAAATTGCAATTTTAGATAAAATTATAAAAAATATAACTGTTGAATGGAATGGAAAATTGGTCAATTATTCAACATTGTGTGGGAAGAAAAATGGAAAATGTGTTGAAAGCGAAATAATTAAATTAATTCCTCATATTAAAGAAATTATTACAGGGAAATATAAAATTAAATATCCTGTTGATTTAAATAAACTCACATTTGTATATACACAATATATATTTTCGTTGGGAGGTGTAAAACTTAACAGGAAAGGATATGTTGAAGAAATTAAATCAGCAAGATTACTTTATCTGTTGGATAAAACAAACAAGAAAAAACACGAAGCTATTGAAAGATGGAAAAATGTTTTTAACGAAGTATTAAAAAAACAGGAATTTCGTTATATATCTTATACGTTTCTGAACAGTTTTTTATTACAAGGAGAATTAGAAGAATATTCTAATTGCTTAGTTCCTCTTATACCAATATGTTTTGTTATAATTTTAATATTTTCTTTTATTATTTGCATGACAAACGATACAATTAAAGGTAAACCTTGGTTAGGTTCTATGGCATGTATTTCAGCTTGTCTATCAGTTTTAAGTGGAATGGGATTGCTCCTATGGTTTGGTTTCGAAAATGTTGACGTTGTCTTCGCTTTATTTTTTAGTGTTTTAGGTAAGTAAATATGTTTTAAAATATAGTAAATAATGAGTAATAATTCGCTTTTGTTTTCATAAATAGTCTACATTTAAACTACATTATAAAGTCGTCTGAAATTTTATAGAACTAAAATAGTTTAGAAAACAATTTCATATCACTCGTTCGTATACAGGTGACAGATTAAAACTGCAATTTTCCCTTTGCGCCATCTAGTAATACCTTCAGAGCTTAATAGTATATAAAATATCTTTACAACTCTATAGTACAGTAGACGACTTTGAACTATCAAACATAAACAACAGATAACTTAGCATATCAGCTCGTCATTCGATATTAAGTAAAGCTATTCTTGTCACTGTATAGCACAGAGCATATTGCATATGCAGAGGATGAGTTGCTAATTGTGACTCATTTTTTCGCTTAGTTTCTTTCACAAAGCACCTGTCCGTGAATTGTTTTTGTCTGCTCGATGTCTTCTCCATCTCGTTGGCTCACAGCACAAAATCATTTTTTCGAAGACCTTCTTGTAAGTTTCGACTGATACCGATGACCACTCCTGTTGAATTACTTTCCAAAGACTATCTAATATTGTAGCCGTACGAAGAAAGAGACGTTGCTTTAGGAAGCCAAATCCAAAGAAAGCAATGGGGCTGATGTCAGGTGGTTTGGTTGATATGTCCTCTGCAAGAATGTGGTTCGGTCCACCTTCAGCCTTCAATTTCTGGAGATAGGAAGCTGTATATCTATCTGTGTGATTAGACGCTTTGTCATGGTAAAAAGTCACTTTGGCTTCTGCAGGATACAGTTTTGGAATTTCACATTCCAAATATAGTTACAAAATGTTCTCCACATAGTAATTAGCGTTAACTTTCACAATTTTTGGCACTTTGATAAGAGAAAATCTGTCATTCCTCCAACAATCATAAAACCTTCATGCCATCTTTCGTAACATTTGACAAGCCATTCTTCTGATACTTCCTGTCTGGGCTGCACGTACAGAATTTTTCGAGTTTCATTGCAATAATCAAAGTACATATACACTTCATTTAGGGTGGCCATGTAGTCGCTTTTTCCTCCAGCCAGATGCCTCTCGTAAAGCTTTTTGTGTGCAGATGAGAGGCGATGTGCAGATGTTTGTGTGCAGATGTGCAGATGCTTGTTTCTTGGTAGCTGCTTACAGATCTTCATGTATAACGGTATTAACTGTAAACTTAAATATACCCAGACTGTTTTCTATGGTCCTCTGGTTAGGTGGATTTCTTTTCTAAACATTTCCTTAACCTTTCTTAGCTTCTCCTTACTTCGAGATTTGTGAACCCTTAGAAATATTGGGTGTAACTCACCAGAAGCACTCGCTTGTCACTTTTTCGTTTTGTTACTAAGAGACTGGGGAATTTCAATTTCATTCTTCTTAACTGTTTTTACGACAGCGCGGGATGAAAGACCTTCGGAAAGAAGCTTGATGAGCACGTCAACTTCGGTAGCAACTGCTGCCTCCATTTTTTAGAACAATTGAATTCAAACATTCTTAGAATGCAAAGAAAAGCAACCCAGTTTTCAAAATTTGATTTATACTCGACAAGTAGAACAAAAGATATCGTAAATTTGAGTCATAATTACCAAATCATCCTCTGTAACTAGATATTTTTTATGAAAAGGTAACTAAGCTTCACGACGTAGGTTAAATTTGACACAAAACACAAATATGATTATAACGTTATTATTATTCTAACGTTATGTTAATATGTAAATATTATTCTAACGTTACGTTAATGCAGTTCATGACGATGGACCATATCTATCGTCGTAGCCGAAGAAGCGTAAAGAAACGTTTAAAACAACCATCCGTCAGCCAGCAATAGTGGCACTTTATCCTAACAAAAAGAGCAATTGCCTTGGGCCGCCACCACAGGGAGACACCAAACCAATCTTTTATAAACTGATTACTGTACTAAGAATATCGAAATGTAAATTTGGGCCATATCTGGGGGCCCTACATTGCCGGTGTGGTGCAGTCGCAGGGTGCACTGGCACAGTTCAGGATACAAGGATACGAGAGATCCCCAAAATTCCCGAACAAAATGTTTGAAGTCAATACTGTACATGTCGGGAGTTTCAGAAATTTTTATAAATATCCGAATTAATACTCTATGAAACCCTAAACTCTAAAAGCTAATAGTACATTAAACTCAATGGTTATCAAACTGTGGGACGTAGCAAAGATCCTTTGTAGGAGACACAAAACGTTCAACATTATTGATTATATTTGATATCAACTACCGCACATACTCGATGTTCTATCCATAACTTTCAGTACAGTATATTTTAAATACACTAATACAATAATTGTTGCCAGATCTATAGTATTAAATATACACTCAACTTCCATAGTTATTTTTTAAACAGATTTTATTGTAAATTATCATTATAAAAGTAGTTACGATAAAGTTTCATTTCATGTAGACGTAACAATTTCAGTGTTCTATTTTACTTTTGTTTTAAATAAAATTTAAAACCACTCAATTTAGCATGAAAATCTCTAACATGACTATAAGATTTGCAAGTGTTAAATTAAGAATGCAAAAATTAATTATATATATTTTTTCATTATGAATAATGAGTGATCTCTGTACTTTCAGCAATGGAAATAGACGATGCTTTTATACTTATAGCAGCTTGGAGGAGTACGGATCCAGAAGATTCTGTAGAAAATAGAATGGAAAAAACTTACTCGGAAGCCGCAGTATCTATATTTATTACATCTTTTACAAGTTTTCTTTCATTTTGTATTGGAATGTGTTCGATATTTCCAGGCATCCGTATATTTACGTATTTCGCAGGGGCATTCGTTTGCTTTACTTACATTTACTTGATGACTTTCTTTGGAAGTTGCTTAGTGATCAGTGGTTACAGGGAGCAAAAACGACTACACTGCATCACTCTTCAAAAAGTAAAAGGTAAATACTATATTGCTCCTATTAAAGCAAACCGAGATTGAACATTTTCTGAGGTATATATTTTATTAAGACTATTATATAATGTATTATATTACTTATGATAACATTTTATAAGAAGTGATTACCTTTTCTTTTTTATAAAAATTTACTGCAAATTCTGTAACTGTAAGTTTTTATTTAGTATTTATATTGTAATATGTATATAAGCCTATATTATTTTAAAATTGCGGAGAGAATCTATAAAAATTCTTTATTAAAGTAAATAGTAAGAAAGAATGCAACAAATTAATGTACTGTACCTTAGATAATCAGTATATTTATTAAATGAATTATATTTAAATATAAAATGTAATATATTGATAATGTTTTTATGTGATGAAATATAAAAAACGAATTAGCTTGAAACAGAAAGAAAACTTTAATAGATAAATATCAAAAGACATACATATTTAGGTACAGTAGAGCATCGATTATCCGACTCAATTGGGGACTGGGGTTGGTCGGATAACTGAAAAATATGGAAAAATACGTTACTAATATAGTATATTAGTATATCCCATGTAATTAGTATATTAGTATATCGCTATTAACCTACTTCGCATTGAATTTTCATCGATGTTAAGCCTAACAAAAATTTTTTAAAATAATAATCGTCGCTATTGTATCGTTAAAAATTAGAAAATTAAACTTCGTTTAAATACTGGTTCCCTTTCATGGTTGAGCCAGTATTGCCAGCTAAAACACGTAAAAATAATATTAAAGTAGCCAAGATATAGCCAAATATTGTTGCGCCACACGGACATTTGAATTTGCCTACTAGAATGCGGTCGGTTAACCGATGTGACGGTTGATCGGGAGTCGGATAATTGATGCTCTACTGTATTTGCAATTTGCTTATTTGTATGTGTATGTCTGTATTTATTATGAATATCTTTAGAATAAGTTATATTATAATAGGAGAAGATTTTGCAGTAATTAATCTTGAAAGTTTTTATATCTTTAAATGATTTTATAATAATGTATTTTTTTACTGGATCTGCCCTATGGACACTAAGAGGACCTTTTAATTCTATCTAGTATACGTTCGGCCAAGTACACAATGAAGTAGATGGTTGGTGTAGAACGGGGTCCAACAAATCCAGACTACTTTTCATAAAATTTCTGGGTTTTCTAACCGCTTGGATTCGAGAAAAAATAATATTCGTATTGACTTCTCTAATATTATAAAATTTCATCGTATCCTCAGTACGATACACATATTGCCATAAAAATTAGCATGCCAAGGAGTTGTAAGGATCGAACGAAATTGTACATGTATGAGTGTAACGGTGATATAAGTGATTACAAAACAAAAGCAAAAGATCATTTATTGCAGGAAGAACTACTACTGAAAGGAGATTCTAGTACCTTGTTGAGCCACCTTTATGGCGTGAATATACGATTTAACACGGGCGGCATGAAGGCATGTAGTTGCCGTATGGTGTTCTGTAGCATCTGTCTACAGTTGCTGCAAGCGGTTTTCTAGTTCGGCCAGATTCATAGGCTGTTCAACTTGGCGTACCAGGTGAACCAAAACATCTTCGATCGGTGACAAATCAGGAGACCGGCAGACCAGGGAAATGTGATAATTTGGCGGAGGCAGTCCTGTGACATCCTTGCTATGTGTGGTCGAGCATTTCTGTTGGAAAATGGCTCTTGGGAGTTCTGTCGTAAGAGGCAACACATGTGGCTGCAGGATGTCAGTAACATACTGCCGGGCTGTCATGGTCCCTTGAATCACTGCTAGAGGTGATCAGCTGTCGTATGTAATGGTACCCCAGACCATCACACCAGCTATGGAATGGTGTGTTGCTCCAAAGCGTAGGTAGAATTGAGGCGTTCACAACGGTGTCTTCAGACAGGAACACGGCCGTTGTCAGTGCCCTAACTAAATTTGGATTCATTGCTGTTGACGACCCGATTCCATTTAATTGTGGTTCAATTCAGTTGAGAGCGATACTATTCCAAACGATGCAACGGTGTATGATGCCACATAATGGCCGCCGCGATCCCAAATAGCCTATTCCTCACCCAGGCTATTCCTTTCTTTTCCATGTGTGCGTGTCTGTCCGTATCTTGAAATGGTAAGGACAGACACACACACGTGAAAGAAGAAAGGCTATGCTCAAAGGCGTAGCCTTAAAAGATAAGAAAGATAGGTGAAAGAAGGAGGAAGAGTGATTTGAGGAAAAGTTGGAAAGGTGGGATAGTTGGAGGTTTGAAAGTGGAAGGATGAATCGCAAGGAGGACTATTGGATAAGACAAGGATAAGCAATAATTTATGCATGCAGAACAATTTGTATTTACAGGAGAAGGCCCATAGAGTAATACTTTGAATAGTAGAACAGATGAGGCAACCTTGATAAAAGTTAACAAAAGAAGAGGTTGCACTGAGAAGAAGCAATAAGGAGTCCTCTTTTGGAGGGTCCCTGTTGGCCCAGGAGACAAGCTGTCCGTTAGGTGTCGCTTGGGCTAGTAGTGGTATGGTCCGTTAGTTTCAGGTGTCTCACGAAGGTCTTGAATTCTTGAAAGATGATCTGGTACTCTATTAAGATATAGAGTTCGCTGGGCCAAAGATACCCTCGTTCCACAATAACCTTATGAAGGTTTGCACGGTAGCGTGATTTTGAACAGGGCAGATAAAGATTAGATGCATTGGATCTTCGTTTTCATTAGTATCACAGTGACACAAACCGTTCCCCTTCCTCAAGAACCTATAGAGGTAAGGCTCTGAAGTTGCCGTGTGCTGTTAGTATTTGAGTCATGACGTGATTGGTGATAAAATGACGGTTGCTGATCCTGCAAGAGATGCTGGAGATAAAGTTGTGGGTGAGACACATCCTGTCAGGCTCCCATCCCACTCCTGCCAACAACACATTAGAATAGAGTTCAGCTTACCTTGAACAATGGACAGGGGGATCAAGGAGTAGCTACATACAGTGGATCAAGAGGAGGCGTTTTTGATTGCTGCCTTGTCATTGCCATTGCTTCCTGGGTGGCCTTTGATCCAGTAAAATTTTATATTGACAGTATTTGAGATTTCGTATAGGATCTTCAAGTTATTGTTGATTATGTGGAGGCGTTAGTTACGATTACGAATCTTGTAATGTACGACACTACTGTCGCTAATGTTGATGTTTTTTACTGTTGTAACTGGTAATATTATCTTGGATACGCCTGAGGGTGTTAAGGATGGCTAGCGACTCGGCTTGGTTGATGGAGCAAGACGGATTCAGCCTATAGGCACCTTGCCAGAAGGTCCTCTTCATTGGATTATCGAAGATAACAGCCGCGCCCACTGCCCCTGGAGATTTGGATCCATCAGTTTAGTACTTTATACCTTGTGGGATGGTGGATTGATAGAGGCAGATGTTGGAGACTGGGTCATTGGCAACGGACAGACACAGGAGCATGTAATGATGACGCCACCTGTGTCAGAATGGCGGACAACGATATGGTCGACTTTGTGTGTGGTTGCCGGAGGAGGCAGTCCTCTTGGCTTGTGGTCTGCCAAGGGCATCCTGAGCCTGGGCGCCGTGTATGCGCGCTCTCTCTTGTCCACTAGTCTCAATATCTCCACACATGTTGCCAGCCTAGGAGGTAGGTTATTCGGCGAGATGACCATCCGGCTTCTCTCAACCCAATGATCCTTCTTTTCTCAAACTCGGATAGTTGTTCATATGGTCTTCGATTACGACGTAAAGGCAGATATACTGATACCGCTTCCCTCTGCAACAGGTAAACTACAGACAGGATGCTTTTGCGCGCTTTTTTATAGGCTAAGACGGACGCATTTTAACTTCCTCTGCTGGCATTACGCAATGAGACATCACGTTATAACTCTAATCATTTCTATATCCGTTTGAGGCTTATTAGCACGCCAAGTTTCGCAGCGATACGACAACTGTTTCTTAAAGTGTTAATTTTTACAGCAATTAGTGTATTTATACATTACGTAAATATTCTATTTATTATGTTTAAAATCGGAGGTTTATCAATTTTTTTCTATTAAAATTTCTAAAAGTAAGCCTAAATATAATTTATAAAATCTGTTTTTTTTCTTTATTCAAAAATTAAATTCTTAAATATTCTTTTGCAGATTCGAAAAATGAAGTTATGACGAGTGGACATGTTTCTCTAAAAGAAGAGTTTATAATGTCTCAATTCAGGGATAAAATAGGCAATTTTTTAACACGTAAAAGTGTAAAATTTAGTGTCATGTTTATATTTTTATGTAATCTTGGAATTGCACTCTGGGGACTAACATTTACACAAGCTGGAAATAATTTCAGTGATGCTTTCAAAGACGAATCGAAATTTTCTCTCTTCTTTAAACTAAACAAGCATTACTATCAATATGGTTATGCTATTAATGTGATTATCAACGAACCATTAAATTATGCTGATCCTCTGGTTCAAAATTCAATAGAAATACTCTGCAAACAGTTTGAAAATCATCCAAATATTGCAGATTCGTCACTACGATTATCGTGGTTAAAGGAATTTCTAAACATACAAGCATCTCCTATAGGAAAATTTCTGTTTTCATCTTACAATATGTCAAACGAATTAGATTTTATAGATGCATTAAGAAACGTATTTTTAAAATTTCAACAAGCAAAAGAATTTAACTACGACATCGCATTCAATGAAAATTATACTAAAATTATAGCATCTCGTTTTCTTTTTCCAACAATTAATATTAAAACTGAATTTCATGAAGCATCTTTAATGATTGATTCTTATAAAATAATTGATCAGTCGCCAATATCTTCTACCGTTGATGGCCTTCATTTCCATTTAATAGAACAAATGTTTTTAATTAAAAAAGCTACATTTCAAACAGCCTTAATAACATCATCATTAATTTGTTTAGTTTTTTTAATTTTTATTACAAATATAAAAATCGTTTTACCAGTCACTATTATCGTTTTTTGTATTATTTTCGAAACTATAGGTTATATGAGTTTATGGAATGTTAAATTAGATATGGTTAGTTTAGTTACTTTAATTTTATGTGTTGGATTTTCTATTAATTATCCCACGCATATTTCTATTTCTTTCTTTACTGCCACAGATATGAATCAAAACGAAAGACTTAAGAAATCAATTTATGAAGTTGGTTTTCCTATATTTCAAGGATCTACAACAACTATTCTAGGCATTTTAATTCTAGCATTTCAACCATTTTATTCAGTAGTTTCATTCTTTAAAATCATTTTTCTAATAGCTATACAAACTACATTTCATGCAATGTTTGTCATTCCTGTAGTACTCAGTATTGTCGGAAATTATAATTTTTCATTTTTTTCCATTAGAAATACCATTTCTATTTTTAAATTTTCTAATAAATAACGTTAACAGATATATTTTTAAATACGTGATAAATATTATAATATATATATATAATATATATATAACTTTAAAAACGACATTTTAAATGTAAACGTAAACTTCTGTGTAAAATAAAATAAAATGTTTAGAAATAAAACAGAATTTTTTTTTTCAAAGTACGGATATCCCTCGTAAAACACGGCACTTCTACAACACGGTTTCTCTCTAACACGATTGGAAAATATTATTTTAGAAGGATAATATTAATTTCGATTCCATTTATACAGGATGTCTCGCGTAAAATCGACTCCATCGCTGGAAACGATAGAAATGAATTTAGGTAAAATACACTTGTAGAAAGTTATTTTAACATTATTTAAACGTACAGAAACTTACGAAAGATGTTAAAAGTCATGTCCTTATTCATTTATGCACCTTTGTATACGAATAATCATCATACATAGAGGTGCATAATAACAATATTCGAGTTTTTAATCATTGTTTAAAAATGTAAATAATCCCGGGTTTGTTTGTAATTACATGTAAGTTATAAATGAATTCCCAAAATGCGCTTATGAATAAAGCTTAAGATTCATTTAAATTTTCTTATTTTATATTTAATAAAATATTATTAACTTTTTCTTATTATTAGTTTTATTATTGATAAAACTACAAATATTTGCTCGATTTCATTTCTTAATTATAATTATAATCTAAAGTATACTCTACTATATAAACAATTTTACACATTAATAGGTCACTTTGATAAACGAATATTTATATTAAAACTATTATAAATATTTATCTAAATTTTGGAACATTTAATTCGGATAACTAGTGTAAGTCTTTCGCTCTCTCTCTGAAAGTAAGTTTTTAATAGATGTTTTATTTTAAAATTTTAATGTAAAAATTTAAAATTTAATAAAAGATTTGCCGGGACAANAAATTTCGACATTTACAATTAGCATTTTTAAATTTTGAATCATTAGAAGATGAAATGAAGGAATATTCTAGTGTATTGCGTCCTTTATCTGCTGTTGTTTTTATGATTGTAGCAACATTTTCTTTCATTATTTGCATGACAAATGATTGGATAACGAGTAAACCTTGGCTTGGTTTATCAGCATGTATTTCAGCATTATTAGCCATAATAAGTGGATTTGGATTTATACTTTTTTGTGGACTGAATTCTTTAGATGTAAATTTTGCCTTAATGTTCGCTATATTAGGTAGGTTTGTTGACATTCATAAGTATATTTTTTTAAATTTACTAATTCTTACTTTATAAATCTATGAAAATAACGTTTGTGTATAATATATATATATATAACCACATTGAGTATTGACCTGATATCTTTGAAATTTATTAAGATGTTTTTATCAGTAGTGGAAAGCTTAGCAAAACATTTTTTGATAAAATTTCTTTGCTAGCTTTGTTTATATTAATTTTTAACTGATCAAAGATATAAAATAGAACATATCGAATCACTTTTTAAACAATTATCAGTAAAATAGGAGAGACTTGTTTACGATCTCTTGTGAATTGAGGCTGTAGAGAACAGATTTAATTATACACTCCTACAACTAAATTTTTTTTAAAAATTTGTGTTTATAAATATCCATGAACGATTTTTCCTTGCAAGGTATGTAACAAGTTTGCCATCAGCCGCAGACCTATTGTATTTCTACTCACAAGGAGATACAACCATACCTTGTCTTCTACGATTCGAACTAAACTTGGCAAGCACGTAGCCCTAAACACAAACAGATCCTTATCCAAATAATAGGACCCACTTCTCAAACAGAGCTTCTGAAAATTGAGTGTTTAGCTTATAAGTCTTTAGAAGAGTCGCTTCTTGTATTTGAGATAGCCATAAGCATATTTCTTTACGGCATAGTCTAACTGGTCCTGCAAAACATGCTGACTGAGAATCTTACAAGTGTCGCCTGAAAAAATTAAACAGGATCCCTGAAATTGTTTTACCGCTTTCTATGTTACATGATTGTCCCACGTTGCTGAAGTTCACACAGTACGAGGTTGCCATTTAGCCATAAACTCTTGAAGCCTATTGATGATATAACGCGTTGCAAAATTTAAATTGTCCATTTGTGAAACTGTCCGCACGTGGAATAGTCTCCCCTATAATAGATAATATTTTATTCCCTATAACTTCACTAATGATAGGAATACTGTATATACGAAATATATATTAAGAAATTTAGTGTGGAAAATAATTCTGTTAATTAAAGTGCATTTACCACTTGAGATTTACACGTGTAAATTAATCAAGTCAATGCCATTACAAATCTATATCGTTCAAAGTACGAATTATTGTATTATCTATATTGCTGTAATATAAATTATAAAGTGAATTATAACCTTGATTAATCAAGGTTTGTATCAGAGAAAATTTGTTTGCGTATACAATGATTTTAGATAAATATCGTAAGCTTCTATAATATTATAATGAAAAAACTTAATTTTTGAAGCTTATAATTCATAGATAAACGTTTGTAAAAATAAGTTTTTTTTTATGTAATTAAAATTTTATTCTTTTACAGAAATGAAGAAAAAATTCAGGCATCTTTTCATTCATGAAAAATTATCTCATCAATTTTCACTTCTGGGTAGATTAATTGCAAGACATTATTTCTTATTCTTTTTTGGACCACTCGTTTTAACAGCAATTCTATCATTGGGATTTTTAAAACATAAAGTTACTAGAGATGTTCACAAATTTTTCACTGCAACAAATGGAAAAGCCATAGAAATTTTGAACTTAGTTGAACATTTATTTCCGATGAATACTTCAGAATTTGTGTTTATTCCCAGAATTGCGAGTACAAGGAATGAATGTATGATTATATTATATACTAAAGAAGATAAAAATATATTTGAAGATGATATCATTCAAGAAGTCGTTTATTTTGATAATATTATAAAAAATATTAGTGTGAAAAGAAATGGAAAAATAGCGAATTATTCAACATTGTGTGGAAAACAATATGGAAAATGTTTTCAGAATGAAATAATTAAGTTAATACCACATGCAAGAGATATAATCTCTGGCAAATATAAAATGAAATATCCTTTTGAAATAGATAAAGTAACATATTTTTATAAACCGTATGCTATGTCAATAGGTGGTGTAACAGTAGATTCTAAAGGATATCTTCAAAAAGCTCAAGCATTTATATTTTTCTATACATTTGACACGTCAGATTCATCAAAACTAAAAGATATTTCTGAATGGACAACAACTTTAAATAAAATCTTAAGGCAATTAAAATTTCGACATTTACAATTAGCATTTTTAAATTTTGAATCATTAGAAGATGAAATGAAGGAATATTCTAGTGTATTGCGTCCTTTATCTGCTGTTGTTTTTATGATTGTAGCAACATTTTCTTTCATTATTTGCATGACAAATGATTGGATAACGAGTAAACCTTGGCTTGGTTTATCAGCATGTATTTCAGCATTATTAGCCATAATAAGTGGATTTGGATTTATACTTTTTTGTGGACTGAATTCTTTAGATGTAAATTTTGCCTTAATGTTCGCTATATTAGGTAGGTTTGTTGACATTCATAAGTATATTTTTTTAAATTTACTAATTCTTACTTTATAAATCTATGAAAATAACGTTTGTGTATAATATATATATATATAACCACATTGAGTATTGACCTGATATCTTTGAAATTTATTATAAAAATCTCTTCAAGTTCTCTCTTATTTTAGGGGAAAGATAACAAGGATGCATCATCAGGTTGGAGTAAGCCTTAGTTTGCCTTTTCTGATCACATTCTGATCCTTTCTGATTGGAGAAGCTACGGATCTTTAAAATCATCACAAAGACTTCATGATTTACACTAAAAAGTTATATGAACCCATAAATACAGAAATATATATTGAAAATGGCCTTTATAAATACTTAAACTATACACGTAGTAAAATTTATATTAAAAGTTTGATTTATTCTTAATTCTATCATGTAGATGTACAACGTATATTTGTCATAAACGTATGTTTCGTAGAATATTTTGACACTAATAAAACTTGATGATGAATTATTGTTCATTATTTCAGCATTTTTCAATATTAGTTTGTAATCTTCACATTAATTTAAATTAATATTAAATTCATTTCATTATATTTCTAGCTATGGAAATCGACGATGCATTTGTATTTATAGCAGCTTGGAGAAAAACTAACCCAGAAGATTCTGTAGAGAAACGAATACAGAAAACATATTCAGAAGCAGCGATATCTGTAACTGTTACTTCCATTACGAATTTTTTCTCTTTTGTCATTGGAATGACTTCTCCATTTCCCGGTATCTCTTTATTCAATCTTTTTGCCGGTGCATGTATTTGCTTCACTTATATTTACTTAATGACGTTTTTTGGGAGTTGCATGGTTCTAAGTGGATTCAGAGAACAGAAACGATTACATTGCTTCACTTTTCGTCATATTGAAGGTACGTAATCTGTAAGAAATGCCAATTATATAAATTTTACGTTTAACTTTTTCAATTTGTTTTTTCGGTTTTCTTCATAGAAGAAAAAAGACAATTTTTTACTTATTGCATAATTTATGTTACATTTTATTATTTGCAGAATATTACAGTCGACCCCCTTATAACACGGATTCCTATAGTTCGGATTCCTATATCACGGCGAAAAAATTGCGACAGTATTCGTACAAACACGCTAAAAAAAACTCGTATAATTCGGTAAAACGTCATCGCCGACTCGTGTCGCGACAGGATTGGTCGAATCTAGATCAATAGCGGATATTGTACAAACCGTTGAGTTTAAACGAGCAGCGGACCTACTAAAAACCATTTATTATTTAATGTCCATAAAAATTATATTTATATTAATAATGTCTCCAAAGTTCAGCGAATTTTTCGCAAAAAAAATAATTTATCAGGAAGCACGCCAGCGCCATTCGATGACAATCTCCACGACGAAAACAAGCTTAAGCAATGGCGTAGTCGAACGGTGCACGCTTGGTAATTAATCCTACAATTTTTTGTTTATAGCATAGTTTATATGGATTATTCCCAAAAAATTATACGTATTTTTTGGGAAATGTTGAGTCGAATTAGTCTAGAATCGATTAATTTTATGGAAGAAACTTTTCAAACAGCCGTAGTCCGTAAACTGCATACGTGCCGGGCTGTGATTGGCTGGACTCGTAGAAAATGGATTCATAAAAACCGGAACGTATCTACCGTGTTATAGGGAGGTCGACTGTATATATAATTTTACATAAAATATTAACTTTAAATTATTAGTTAATACAAGTTAATGTATGTAATATTATTTTCATTATTATTTCATGTATATTTTTATCTTATAAAATTATTTTGATAATTTACAATTAATAAAGTACACATCATAAAACCTTATTTAGAAATTATATATAACATTATCATGCACTGAGAAGTTTTAAAAGTTTATTTTTGTTCCCAAAAGGGAAACGTTGGCATTGTCCTTGTAACAAAAGTTAACTTTTTGTTCAAATGTAATAACATGTCATCAAATCTCATTTCCTAGTGAGAGTGATAGTGAAGAACGTTTAGAATCTGCTGCCAAACGAAGACATAGTAATTTGTTTAAATGGAGAAAATCTGAAGATATTGCATTTATTAGATAAAGTAGAGTAAGAACACAATAAAATCAGAATCTGAGGTATTTGAACTGTTATTTTACCCCTCAAATTATCAATAAAATACGGGAGGAAAATATGTCTGTATGCAACGCGAGACAAGGGTAATCTATATTTTGGGGATCTGAACAAGAAATTAGGCAGTTTTTGGGATTGTTGCTCGTTAATGGATACCATTCTTTACCCACTAGAAATGACAATGGACAATTACCAAGGATCTTTAAGCTCCGATTTTTGGCAAAATTATAAGCCGAGAGAGGTTTCGCAGTTCCATATTGTTGACAAGCAAAATTTGGATCATTCGAAAGTCGTCAAAGTCCTTTATGAAACTTTAAACACTCAGTTTCAACAATTTGGCATCTTCCATCAATATTTGGTTATTGATGAGGAAATGATACCTTATCATGGGCACCATTCATCTAAAATGGATGTTATGTGAAGTTGACGGATATCTATACAATATGCAAATTTATTGTGGAAAAAGCGGTGTTAAAAACATCCCATTAGAAAGTCGAGCAGCGTGCAGTTTGTTGGATGCAACGTTCCAGTCACGCATGAACTTTCAGAGAAGAAATTCCAAGCCAGTGGTACAATCCGAGAGAATCATACTTCAAAATATCCAATTTCTTCCACTAAAGAAATGGAAAAAAAACAGAGGCTCCTTCAACTATCATTCAGATCTGCGTGAAATGGAATGATAATTCCATAGTAACGGTAGCTAATAACTTCTATGCAATTACTCCGGTACAAAAAAACAAAGTAGCGCGTGAGGAATGAAAAATATGTTACACAGCCATTAAAAAGATATTACATTATTATAAAGATATTACAGAAAAAGATGTTACATTAAAAAGATATAATAAAGTTAAGGAAGGTGTAGACCTATTAGATCGTATGTTGGACGGCTAAGACCCCATTGGAGATTTTTAAAAAAATGGTGGTGTTCTCTTCGTTAATGCTTGAAGGTTCTACCAACATCGTCTTAATGAAAAGATTTCACATATTTATAAACTTGAAAAAATTACAAAAAATTTCTTAAGGACAAATTGATTTTACATATTTCTTTCTGTCATAAAATTGCAATATCACTGTTGAAGACAGGAAGATTACATAGGATTCGTCTAGGTCACCCAATTGCCCCAATTATTACAGACATTCTCTTTGGTGACATAAACCATATTTTATGACTTGTAACACAAGAAAGAAACACTTGGATTCGATGCCAAAAATGTGAAAAACATTTTCATAAACAACGCTTAATTGCTTATGATACCAAATAATTTGCTGTAATCTTTTATAAAAAGTAGCCTAAATAATTAAAATTTGTTTTATACTATTCTTAATTGTGCAATAATTTTTTTTTATAAAGCCTAATAAAAGTATATATTTTTAATACGTGGACAACGCCAACGTTCCCATTTTGGAAACATAAAATAATTTCATGGATATGAATGGAATTAAAACAGTTTACACAAAAGTAAAGAGTAACATATTATAAAATGACATAATTTCATTAACCAGTTATTTTAATTGTTATTTATTTACACGATTTAATTTTTAATTATGCAGATTCCAGAACTGAAGATTCAAGGGATAATCACAAAAAAGAAAACTTCATCATGGCTAAATTTAGAGATTATATTAGTTATATTCTAGAAAAGAAATATGTAAAATTTATATTTTTTTGTATATTTTTTTGTAACTTTGCATTATCGATTTGGGGATTACATTACATTCAAGAAGGTAATGATTACAACGAAGCATTTAAGGATAATTCAGAATTTTCTTCATTTTGGAATGCAAATTTTAAATATTTCAACCGGTATAATTTTCCAATTCATTTAATTTTCGATGAACCATTAAATTATGCTGATCCTAAAATTCAAAAATCAATTGATGAATTGTGTAAAAAGTTTGAAAATCTTCCACATATCGCAGATATATCGATGAGAATGTCGTGGTTGAAACTCTATAAAGAATTTCAGAATAGTCTCGTAGGAAAAATGTTATTATCTCCGTATAATTTGTCTAAAGAACAAGATTTTATAAATGGTTTAAGAAATGTTTTTTTAAAATTAAAGCCAGCAAAAGAATTTACTTTGGATATAGCATTTGACAAAAACTTTACAAAAATTATAGCATCTCGTGTTTTATTACTAACGAAAGATGTTATTGATGATAATAGTTATATTAATATCATGAAAGATAGTTATGACATTGCAAGCAAATCGCCAATATCGGTTAAAGTTCATAATACTCAATTTTATTTAATGGAACAAAGGTTTCTTATCAAATACGCTACATTTCAAACAGCCATAGTAGCTTCTGCTTTGATTTGTATTATCTTTTTTCTTTTTATTCCTGATGTTAAAAGCGTATTTTGCGTTGCAGTCGTTGTATTCTGCATTATATTCGAAACTTTAGGATATATGAGTTTATGGAATGCTAAATTAGATATACCTGCCTTATGTACATTTATATTGTGTGTAGGATTTTCTATTAATTATCCGATACACATTTCTTTTTCTTTTATAACTGCTAAAAATAAAGAACCACATGAAAGAATCAGAAAATGCATTTATGATGTTGGATTTCCAATTATTCAAGGATCCATGTCGACAATTCTAGGAATACTAATATTAGCTTTTCAGCCTTTTTATAGTACTGTTTTATTCTTTAAGATAATTTTTCTTATTGCTCTATTAACTACTTTTCATGCAATGTTTATTATTCCAATTACTTTAAGTATAATTCAAAATTTAAATTGTACTTTTGTTTTCAAGAAACGAAGGATCAACAATTAATGTTTGTAATGAGATACATTTACTATAATTACTAGATAATATTTTTTTTAATAATTTTTACTTGTTTGTATTTGTCGATACTATTAGAAAAATTGTAATTGTATTAAATTTTCAATAAAACGACGTATTAACGAATCAAATGATATAGGCCTATATAATGCATAAAAATTGTAATTACTGTGTACTTCGGCCGCAACCTCTCTATTATGCTCCTTAAACGTACCATATTTTTTATAACGTGTTAAATTGCTAGCAAATGTTCAATAAAAAAGAGGGTATACAATAACTTAGGAATATTTGGAATTTTATTTTGGAAGACTGCAGAAAAACACCGCAGCGCAAGCGAAGTTGCGAGTTCAAGCCCCACAACGAGTCAGTTCTTTTCTTCCAGATAATTCTAAATTATTTAGTAAATTATAATTATTAATTAAGTTAAAAGATGGCGAATAACTTCTATCTCTAGTAGCAAATTATTTAGTATTAATCGTTAAATTAGCGGAGTTATAACCCTATTATTTAAGGCGATCATTTAGTTATGTTTCTATATACATATCGGGTTTCGCGATGTTTGATATACTTATAACATAACCAACTTAAATAGTTTCGCGTTTATTGGTGTGACTTATGTAGTTAGCCTGGGGGAGCATTTTGACCAGTTTTATGTCACAAATGAAAGATTATAAGTGATTTATTGTTCATAAAACAAATATATATATATATATATATTGATAAGTACAGATGAAAAAGAAAAATATAATAAAGAAATTAAAGTAAACTAAACTAAAAAATAAGAAATAAAGTAATAAATTGGAGTTACTTGTTAAAAGCAGTCGCATTTGAGATTTTGTCCTGTCACGACTCTAAAACATAGCATTGATAAGTTGCTTGACACGACTAAAAAAAAAACATAGTGTATTTGAAATAGTTACATAAAAGTTGAAAATTTCCGATGGGATTAGAGGAAGGAGTTGAACGTAATTGCTGACATGTTGACGAAAGGAAATGACAATTTGTTTAAATCGGTACTGGCCCGGACATACAGTAACAGCAGAAGTAATCGAAGAGCTAGGTAACGTGGTTCCATCTAGTGGAGATGGAAAACGTAAATCTGGTTTCTTTTTCTTTGAACTCGAATAACTTTTTCGTAATTCAACCGAAATTCAGCAAAAATAGGAAGCAACTGTATGGCTTTATATTCCAGTAAACAGCACTCATTACCTCCCGGGATATACTGTAGCATGACAATTAAAAATACATCATATTTTAAATCACTGTTAAATACATTTATTTCATTATTAAACATTTTACATTTAAAATTGTCTCAAAAAAAATATTTTTCCCAATTAAAATTATATTTACACTTAAACTTTTTGTGAATAAACGATATTCTCCATATACTAAACATCTCAAAAATACAATTTCTTTCAAATTACCTATTCGCTATTAATTACATACTATTATTAGAGCACGTTTATGTTTTAGAATACATTTATAATTGAAATTATTCGTACATTTAAAAGCTTCTTAAATCTCTGTTCTTACTCCTAACATTTCCCAAAACACAATTTACATATAAGTTTTCCATACTTCAGAAATTAATTCAGTATAACAAGTACAACGTACTGTACATGGTATTGAATATATTACATTCATTATGTTATATTTATCTCCTACTTTATTTTTTATTACAGGCATAGTTTCTTGTATTCTTTTTTTGTAATTTTTCATAATTTGGTACAAGCTTTATGTTTATTTTATTAAAATCCTTATTTATTTGTTCAAAAAAGCCCTCGGATATAAGGAAATGCTCTATATTTTATATCTGTATTTTGTTTATTTTGCTGTACTCTACTGTTAGTTTTACTTTCCCATTGTTTAAGTATTCTCTCTCTGAATATTCGTTTAATTTAAATTTTATTTTTAATTCATTGATATATATATTTTTTCTTTTTTGCAATGTGTATCTCTAACACTCTCCAACGTCTATTTTAAGTTAAGGTAATCTATATCAACGAGATGTCTTTGTATCTCACTTTCTATTTTTTCTTCATTATTTATATTTTCCTTATCCTGTTCTGTAAAACTCCTTCTTGGTACATCTAAAAAGAGTTAATATGTAAATATAGATAAAAGATTCTCGTCCTTATGTAAATGAGATTACACAGAGCCTTGCCATATCGACGTCCAGAATATGCTCTAAGTGACGTCCAACGTAATGGTGTTTGTGTTTTTTTTAAAAGACAAATTTAAAATAACCTATAATCTAAAAGATAGCCAGGAAATAAATGGTACGTTGTACTTGTTATAACGAATTAATTTCTGAAGTACGGAAAACTTATATTTGTGAAAAGCTTGGGTTTCGCCGCCCATGCAACAAGCACCTTCTCCAGCTCGTGGTTTCAATAATCCTAACAATAGTCCCCAATGTATATGATTTATGACGTTGATATTCTCTGCGTATGCCTGTAGAAAGTTGCTATCTAACTCCAGTAACGAAAGACTAGTAATTGTTGATACTGTACGATTCTCCCTTAAATATATCAATATTTTATAATGATATACTCAAAATTTACAATAAATTTTCTTTAAAAATTGTTATTGTATTTGAATTAAACACGTTTTTGACCTTACATTATAAATATTATTTCTATAAGAACTCTTCCGATTATCTTAATGATAAGAATTTATTTACGTAGAAAGTTGACAGATTAAATGAACGTCTGTATAAAAGTCTACATAGAAACCATAATATATACAATATATGAACATCACTATTTCATTTCCTCTAGATTTAAAGTTTTCTAAAATAGTAAGTATTATATATTATTAAGTATAGTATTATATATTTATTCTAATTTTATTTATTATTTTNGAGTCACTCAGAGCGGTAAGCTACCACCTTTATTATTTTATAAATTTATATAATCTACGTTACCTTATATAAAAGTACAATTAATAATTAATAAGTTTATTAATTATTATTTTTTAAATCATAAAATAGTCATAATTTTATTTTGGTAAATTTTAAATTACAATTAATAAACATAAAATTTCTAAATATAATTTTTAAGATACTTCCATAAGTTCATTGAACTTTGTGAAGCGTATATGAAGGTTCACTTTGACCTCAAAATAACAAGTTCATTACACTAAAATCGGTATAAGAATAATAATTATTTTGGTGTAACTTTAATAAAATTTAAATATTTAATATATTTACATCATATAATTATTATATTTAAATTTTTATTTTAGTTAAGAAGTCATGAAGTGTTACTGTGTTCATAGAGTGCTATCAAGACAATTTTCTAAATTGGGTAAAATAATAGGAAGTCATCCGATATACTTCTTCTTAGGACCTATTATTTTATGCTCGATACTTTCGACTGGTATTATGCGTTTGAAATTAAATAGAGAAATAGATTATCTATTTACAGCACAAAATGGAAGAGCTCATCTTAATAAGAAATTAGTAGAAAATATTTTCAAAAAGAACACGTCTTCTTTTTCTGATATCATCAGAAGGACAGGAAATGATAATACAATTATTATTCAGATGTTAGCAAAAGATAAAGGCAATATGTTTAGAGAAGAAATATTTGAAGATATTGTTATGATAGACGAATACATAAAAAATATTACAATAGAAAGAAATGGAAAATTGATTAATTATTCATCTATATGTGCTCTAAATAATGGACAATGTAGCCAAGATTCTGTTTTAAAGATAGCTCCTTATATCAAAAGTATAATTGATGGAAAATATAAAATTAAATATCCTTATCATCTAGATGGTTTTACATTCTATTTAACACAATACGTATTTTCTTTGGGTGGTGTAGAATTGGATGATGATGGCAATGCAATATCAATCAAAGCAATTCGTTTGTCTTACATGTTTGATAACACCGATAAATCAAAAATTGAAGATATTAAAGAATGGATTAACCATTTCAATAAAGTAATTAAACCAATCAATTTACCGCATACAATATTAATGGTACTTCATAATTATGGTTTCTTTGAAGAAATAGATAAATTTAGAGATGGTATTTTACCAAAGCTTCCTGTCCTTGCTGCAGTAATAATAATTTTTGCTATTCTAACCTGTATGACAAATGACTGGGTTCGAAGTAAACCATGGTTGGGATTATCTACTTGTGTTTCAGCATTTTTAGCCATTGCTAGTGGTTTTGGTCTTGGAATATATTTTGGAATTGAATCAATTGATGCAAATTTTGCTTTAATATTTGGTGTAATAGGTAAGTAATTTCAAAATAATAGAAAACATTCGAAAATTTTATCTAGATATTCGTAATGAATCGTAGTCATATCATACTTATACGAGTTGATTGATATAAAATAAACAAAAGTTTATACTGGGCAATGTCGCGAAGTTATTGAACTCATATCAATTTATCTTTAAATTCTCTCTTCTTACTATTTTAAATTTCACTTTTCAATTTTTAAATCTAATTTTATAATTTAAAAATTAATTATAAATTATATATAAAATTATATATAATAAAAAATGGTTTGAATTTTTATATTTAAATAGCAACCGAAGTTGATGATGCATTTGTGTTAATAGCAGCATGGAGAAATACTAATCTTAATGATCCTGTGGAAAAACGTATGGAATCAGCATATTCTGAAGCTGCTGTATCTATAACGATTACATCATTAACTAGTTTTTCATCATTTTGTATTGGTTCATCATCACCATTTCCTGGAGTTAAAATATTTTGCATTTATGCAGCCATTTTTGTATGTTTTACCTATATATATCAGATTACATTTTTCGGAAGTTGCATGGCTTTCAGTGGTTATAGAGAACAGAAGAGACTCCATCCTTTCATTTGTAGACGTGTAAAAGGTAAAAAACAAAAAAATCTCTCTTATTTATGTTCAGTTTTAAACAGTATTAATTTGTATTTTTATTACAGAAAGAAAAACTTCGCATTTATCACTACACAAAGAAGAATTCCTAATGGTTATATTTAGAGACAAATTAGGATCTTTATTAATGTCCAAATCCACTAAAGTTATCATCATCGTAATTTTTATGATAAATCTATCTGTTTCTATTTATGGTTTAGTTAATCTTAAAACAGGAAATGATTTTTCAGATGCTTTAGCTTTTGATTCCGAATTAAACGATATTATCGCTTTTAATTATAAATATTTTGGTAAATTTCTTTATCCTGTACACATTATTATAGATTATCCATTAAATTATGCTGATCCAGCAGTACAAAAATCTATAGATAAAACTTTAGAACTATTCGAATCTCATCCTCATATTGCTGAAGGAACTCTTACAATTTCTTGGCTTAAATATTTTAAATTGTTTTCTAATCGTCCTCTAGGAAAATTTATTCTAAATGGTTATAATATAAGTAATAAATTAGAATTTATCGACGTTGTAAAAAATGTTTTTTTGAAATTATATCAGAGTAGACAATTTATAGAAGATGTTATATTTAATGAAAATTTAACAGAAATTACTTCTACTAGATACTTATTATTAATTACAAATATTTCGGATACGGAAACAGAAACAGAAGTTATTAAACAATTATATGAAATAACTGATAATTCACCTTTACCTATTAAAATTCATGGTATAAATTTTCATTTATTAGAACAGGCTTTAATAATTAAACAGGCTACATTTCAAATTGCAATTGTTACTTCAGCTTTAGTGTGTATTATATTTTTTCTATTTATACCTAATCTCAGTAATGTCTTTTGTATTGCTATAATAGTTTTCTGTATTATCTTCGAAACCATTGGTTATATGAGTTTATGGAATGTAAAATTAGATATGCCGTCTTTAGGTACATTAATTTTATGTGTTGGTTTTTCAATTAATTATCCAACTCACATATCTTTTTCTTTTGTTACTGCTAAAGGTTTAGATTCTAATGAAAGAATTAAAAAATCATTATATGAAGTAGGATTACCTATTTTTCAAGGATCAACTTCTACTATATTAGGTGTAACTGTTTTAGCTTTTGAACCCTACTATGGTACATTATGTTTTTTTAAAATTATATTTTTAATTGCCTTACAAACTGCTTTTCATGCTATGTTCGTTATACCCGTTGTTTTAAATTTATTGAGTCGTTTTGATAAAACATTAACTGTTAAAGACAAACATCAAGAAAAAAAGAAAGATTTTTATTTACAATGAATATAATTAATATTTCATAATAGTTTTCCTGTTTTATTCAATTATATTCATTCTATATATAAACTGAGAATAGAAGCTTTATTAAAGAAATTAACAGTACAATAGTTTAAATAAATATGTATTTTTATAATTTAAACAGATTTATTATTAAATTTATTTAGATTATACACTTTTTAATATTATNCCAGAAATTCAAGAATAATCTTTACTAGGCAACTACCGTACATTTGAAATAAAAATTCTTCAGTATTTTAAATACCGAGGCATTTTTAGTGTGAAAATATGTATATATATATATATATATATATGTTTTTTAATTCGTGTATTCTTAATAAAAGAATTTAATAAATATTTAATTAAATATATTAATATTAGATAGTTTAATATATCATAAATTTAGGAATTAAATTATTGCTAAATAATAAATTAATTAACTTTATATAATAATACAATAGACTCTCTCGATTATGAGGAATCGCATTAACTATGAAGTGGATTAATTGGAATTTTTATTCATTATTCCTATTCATCTCGTATAATCAAATAATGCAATTCATTAGTAATAACATTAATGAGAGTTGTTTACTTTAGTAGCTATAAATATTTAAATATATTTTCACTTTCGTTCAATTTATATAATGATAGATAACGTGTAAACTTTAAAATTTATCATGGTTTATATAAATTACGACATATTACATAAATTAATAAATAAACTTTATAAAAGTAAACAGTAAAGTAATCTTACATAATCAATCTTCCTTGTTTTTCAGTAAATTTTAACATTATATAGAGGAAGATGGGGAGAGATGAGAACGTTAAGGTTTGAAAAGTTATAATATGGCAACCATTTTTAATGAGAACAATAATTTTTTTTTATTCTCAGCAACTACAACATTTGGTAATATATAATACAAAATTTAATTTTTGAAAAACAAGAAAATTTAATATTTTAAAATTATATGTAAATGCACCATCTTGCCCCACCCATGAGGTAAGAAGGGAATATTATTTTTATATACAAGAAAGACAAATTAAAATGGTTAAACTTCAATATTGGCACAAGAACAGTGTGCCCATTTATCACAATGGCTACATTTAGCCTAACTCTCTGTAGATACAGAGTATAATCCTTTACAATAGAAGCATTCTGTGTCATTTGTCTTTTGTTTCTTGTTAGGCCTACTTTTGATGAAGGGTCCTTTTGTTTGTCGTTTCTGCAGCAATAAAGTCTGCCTCCGAAAATACTTCTGAATTCATAGGCCATATTCATGGTCAACCTGGAGCTAGACGGGTAGCCCATCTTGTCCCCAACGTACACTTTTCATACTGACTGCAAACACAGGTAAACTTCATTTAAAAACTAAACAATTACAGTTTTAAAGGTTACTTCGAATACCATAATATCTTCATCTAAAAGGTAATGTAAAAGTTTACAATGATACTTACTTTGTAGAAACTTTTTAGCGAGGGTAAAATTAGATGAAGTATTGTTGAAACATGAAAAACGTACATTACTTCCAAACATAGAGAGCGATTTGGACGTTCTCTCGCTCCATTATCCCTTTCGAGGTAGGCATTTAGTTCCCCAAACAACAGCTAGATAAAAGCACATTAACCACAAATAAACAGAAGTCCCCGTCTTACCCCATGACCCCATCTTGCACCACCTTCCTCTACTTATATTTAATAAATTTATTTTATTAAAATTTAAAATTTAACCTACCTTTTTGTTAATGTAATGTTCAATACTAAAAGAATCTTTAAAGAAATTAACATCATTTTTTTTTAAGTTTTCTAAAAACAAAGAAACAAACGTGCCATAAAGTGTAGATTCGTGGAGAAGATGTTGAGCAAAGCAAATATATTAAAGGAGAAAAATGGAAAACAAAAATGAGTCAAGAGATTCCGGTATCTCTCTATACATTTATAGAATGTCTTAATATTATTAAAATAAATAAAACGTTCTACAAAAGATGGCGCCATAAGACAATAACCTAAAAATGATCAAATATACTGTATACATTCCTTTGTTGGTATTAAGGGAGGAACATTGATTAAAGATTCATGGATACTTGATGGCATACAAAAAAACTAGATAAGTCTCTGTTAATAATTTGGCAGTGACTGTATTGAGCCTACAGAAATACTAGATTCTAGTTTAAGAGAAAGACAAAGAAAAACAACAGTAATAATGAAAAGTTTAGGAAATGTTATATGTAAGAGAGACGTAAAAAGTTGGGTCCTCATTCGAAAGGTGTGTAGGTATATGGGCCACAAATATATATTTATTTTATTATCTTTTTCTTCTTGTATAGTTTTTATTAGTTAACTGTATTTGGCATTTTGTGTATCTCTTGTTAAAACTAAAATGAATGAATAAATGAGTATATAATTTATAATTGTTAAGTAACTTTTCTTATACTAACTATCATTTTGTTTTCTCACAGTACAACAAATAACTTTCACGTTTATTTTTTAAAAAAAATCAAGTTTTTGTGTAAATAAGTAATTTATAAGAAAAACTAGGAAAAGCCTTGACTTGAATAACTTAACAGATGATTCTTTTAATTATCTGTCAGTCTTTGACAATGGTTTCGCATAAAATATAATGTTCTTGACCAGAGTTTGACTAAATGCCCCGAGCACAACTAGAAAGGGCACAATATAAAAAGAAATAAATAAAAAGTTATTTACGAAAACAAAAACTTAAGTTATAAAACAAGAAAAAACATGCAAGCGGACAGCTTTGACAGAGTAAATTAAATGACCTGGGATGGCAGAAAGTTGTGAATGAATCAATTGAAGAATTCGCTGAGATAGCTTACATTGACAATATCAATAGCCATTGTTTTTCAGGATAATATAGTATTTAAAAATATAAAATTAATTTATTGAAATGGATCGAAAATAAAAAATATAAAATCGTAAATAAAAAAAGAAAACACAACACTTTAATTTGCTGAGAAATTTAATGAAAAAGCAAACGTTCTAACCTGCATGATTTAATTTTTATAGACGGGTATCATGCAGGTTAGCACTTCTAGATTTCATGCACAGCAAAGCTCAGATTTGGCATGTTACAATAATGATTTGATAGAACTAGCTAACCTTATTTGTTATGAATCTTTTTTCACCTTTAACGGCCATCAGTACAGACAAAAAAGAAGAGTCCTTATGGGAAGTCCCATGTCAGGACTGTTGTGTGAGCTTGTATTGAGAAAATTGGAAAAAACTGCTCTTTCTGTTTTCTTAAATGATATTGTGTATTTTAAAAGATACGTTGACGATGTTTTTGTAGTTTGGAAGAATGACCAAAAAATCGATGATTTTATTAACAAGATCAACAACAACGATGATGGCATGATGGCCTCATGCTAAAGATTGAATAGAAGTGTGCCTCACAGATACATTTTTTGGATATTGACATTGAATTAAAAGAAGGACATTTGGCCACTAAGGTATACGTAAAACCAACGCATAGCCCTTTGTACATTCCGTCCCACTCTAATGATCCGTACCAATACAAAATGGCTGCCTTCCGTGTCCTTGTCCAAAGGGCCTTTCTCTATTGCAGTAGTGTGATGGATAGACAAAAAGAAATTAATAGAATATTACATATTGCTAAATCTCTAGGATACAGAGCAGATATGATAACAACATTGATCAAAAATTACAAAATAAACAAAAATAAGGCTCAAAGCGGAGATTTCGACAAAATCACAAAGTTCACTTATGATAGAAAGAAAAAAGCCACCATGAAGGAAATCTCAGCCCGCAAAAAGTCCAAGTTAGTTTTCAAGAGAGCTCCTAACCTGTACAAATTATTAAGGAACGACAAAGACAACATGGATAAAGAAAAAAGAGCAGGAGTGTACAAGATTCCGTATGAAAATCTTGAACTAGACATTAATAAAAATTACATTGGTGTCACTAATAAAAACTTAGGAGTCAGATTAAAATAACACAAATACGATATCAGCAAGGGATCTAACGCCACAATACTATCGCAATTGGCGCAAGTCGAGGTCTCAGTCGTCAAATGAGACGAAGCAAATATTATTAAACCAGTACATTCATCGACATTGGCGATTTGCGCCGAAAAAATTGAAATATATAAGAGCAGGTTACATGATGCGTGCATTAATTCTAGAGATTCGGAAGGGTTGCCTTCGGACCGGAAATACTTAATCAAACGATTAGAGAGCTCTTAATTTAATGCCTTGATTTAGTATTTTTGTATATTCTTGCATTTTATTGAATTTCATATAATATATTATTACATAACGTTTCAATATTTAATTATCCTATACATATATTTATATACATATTTTGTTATTTATAAGAATAATTTTTATTTTATTTTATTTTTCTTTATACATGATGTATATATATATATATATATATATATATATGTGTGTGTGTGTGTGTGTGTGTCATTCGTTATTTTTATTTGTACTGTATTTAAATTTTTGTTCTATTTCATTTATATTCGAATATTCTTAGCCTGATAATGGCCAATAGATTTGGCTGAAAACGTTTGCTTTTTCATTAAATTTCTCAGCAAATTAAGGTGTTGTGTTTTTTTTTTCGATTTACATACTGCTGAGTGAGTGTATCTCAATTATAAAATCGTAATAACAAAAATTGTGTTTTTCATCAAATGTATATCAGTGTTAACATGAAAATGTATTGTACTGTACATATACATTTTTAAGCTAATGCATTGAAATTCATAGAGAAACATTAGCATAACTACAAATTGCAGCCCAAAAAGAAAGAAAATCTATCCAACAAAGTAGTGTACTGATTGCAAGAAACTCATTCGTTCGTTCGGTTTCGAATCTGAACATTTATAAGATATTTTGGTTTTTGGAACCATCCTAGAGCATTCGCAACATAATAAGTATATGAAATATAAATGAACATTTATCAGTTGTGAGTTAGTTTTT